TACATACATGTACAATAACGCTGTGTGAGAATCATGACTTTCAAACTTGTACACAAAATATTGGCCTTTAATAATTGCTTATATAATTGTCTGAAACTCATCATACTTAATTAATCATCTGAATAAGAAGAACTTTCAACGTAAATTTCTTTGGAAGAACTGGCAACCTATCTCAAACACTGTATAACATATAGTAAATACTCTAAAATAACAAATCATAGTAATATTATTATTCACAAACAAGCATTTATTTCAAAATTAAAAACAATTTAAATGTAATTTTGGGAGATTTAGGTGTCTTTCTGACAACATTTAATGCATTTAATGCAGAGGTTATTTCCATTAAGTTCCAAAATTTAGAAGTCATGGACTGTAAAATAATTTACATCGGAAGTCACATTATCATGATTATATAGGTAAAGAAGGAAGAGCATTATATTTGGGAATCACAAGCACAAATCAAGAAGTAAATGACTTCCACACTTCCACTTATGGAAGCCCTGAACCAAAAGAAGTTGTAATATTGGGCAACAATTTCTGATCTCAGAGGAAAAATGATGCCCAATTATTAATTTATCATTATTATAATATGGAGAATCATATATATCAGTGTGTTTTCAAGGACAGGAAGATAGCGGTTGATGTTATTCATAGGAATGAGTAATGTCACCTGGTGTTTCTAAAGTATAATTATTCCAATTGTAGATTAGTCAAGAACATAATGTAATACAGATAATATAAACCCATACATGAATTTCTAAACTGAATGCTTTAAGCATTTTTTGCAATAAATCATTAATTGAATGTCTTGAAAAGACTAGTTATGATAAATGCATTATGACTCATGATATTATGAGGACAAAAATTCTATGTTTGTACATAAATCTATTATCATTTATGATTTAGTGATGCTTGTTTGTGAATAAACAACAGAATGCACTCACACCTTCATCAATTATGTGAGAAATGTAACATACACTTTTCATGTAAAGTAAATCTTTGAAATTTATTCTGTTTTTTTCTCTTATTTCCAAAAAAGAATTATTTCATTACAACAAAATATGCCATAAATACTACATGTAATCTCACATAAACAAAGACGGCAGTTGCATACTGTTAAACATTTCCAAAGATCAAAAAACACTTTCTGTATGTATAACAATTCCTGTTGTACAGGTACATAATTTTATCATTTATTTTACACACATTTTATTTAAGTACATGATTGTACATGACATTATTGTTAATAAATCCATAGCACTGAATTAACTAATCAACAGCCCAAATGATTATTTATTTATTTATTTATTTTTTAGGAAAATACTAAGGGATAATGAACAAATAAGAGGTGGTCAGTTGATCTGGTTAGACCATGCAGATTTGTAGACTGGCCTTAAGTTCCTTTATTGTTTGCACAGACATCCAGCTGAAGCATTTTTTTGGTCATTTTCTGTTGCTAAACCAAGAGCGATGGCCCCATATTCTATTATTACAGAATGAAGACTTATTCTTTTTTTGTTGTGTTGACTGATAGATTGCACCTTATTTTGTTAAGACCAAGCTAAAGGCTAGCACTTATCTTCAAAGCAGTTTACTTTTCAAGTCAAAACAAAATTCTGCACCAGTAACCATGTATAAACATACACTACGAAGTACATAAACCAATAGCCGATTTAAGCAACAAATCTTGCAAGTTTTCTTTCTTACAGCTTTGTATATAGCCTGAACATTGGTGGTTCTACTCATTCTCAAGCGCCCGTTTGTGTTTGAGATAATGTACATTGGGGCACTTGAGTAATTCCTCCACCAGTAAAGTTGAAAAATCTCTGTGAATCAGAACTGACACTTAACAATGGTTGAATAGTTTGCTACAGATTTTATACAAAACCTACTCTGTTCAAAATACAAGGCAATTATGCTTATATAATTAAGTGAACTTCCCAAAGGTCCCTACATTCAGCAGAAGAACGATAACAAAGAATTAAGGTGCAACCACAGATCAGATTGTAAGATAACTATATAACTAGTCTACAGCAGTATCCCAGGCACATACAAAAGGCAAATTATAGTATGCAAGGAAAAAATGCAAAACTATGAGCTCTCTTATCATGTACTGATTACACCCAAAGTAATAAACAAGAGGGCCATGATGGCCCTGAGATCGCTCACCTGTATATAGCCCCCCCCCACAACCCCCCCCCCCCCCCAACATTGCAGGGCCAATTTAACCCAAGGGCTTTTATTTGCACAAACTTGGTAGACACCCATAAGAAGATGTTTCATGCTAAACATCTAAGCTCTAGCTCATTGGGCTTTTTAAAAGAAGATTTTTTTAAAAGTTTTTACTATACACATATAGTTAAAAACAATGACACCCTTTGGCCAGGCCAGTTTTGACCCCAGGGCTTTTATTTGAACAAACTTTGTAGACACTTACTAGAAGATGTTTCATGCTTAATATCTAAACTCTAGCTATTTGGGTTTTTTCAAAGAAGATTTTAAGTTTGTGCTATACACATATAAGGAAAATCAATGACCCCTGGGGCGGTGCCAATTTTGACCCCAGGGCTTTTATTTGAACAAACTTGGTAGACACCCATTAGAACATGTTTGATGCTAAATATCTTAGCCATAGCTCTTTGAGTTCTTTAAAAGAAGATTTTTTAAGTTTTTACTATATGCATACAGGGAAAATCAATGACCCCCCCGGGGCGGGGCCAATTTTGACCCCAGGGCTTTTATTTGAACAAACTTGGTAGACACTAAGTCTTATTAGAACATGTTTCATGCTAAATATCTTAGCTCTAACTCTTTTGGTTCTTTAAAAGAAGATTTTTTAAGTTTTTACTATCTGCATATAGGGAAAATCAATGACCCCCCGGGGCGGGGCCAATTTTGACCCCAGGGCTTTTATTTGAACAAACTTGGTAGACACCCATTAGAACATGTTTCATGCTAAATATCTTAGCTCTAACTCTTTTGGTTCTTTAAAAGAAGATTTTTTAAGTTTTTACTATCTGCATATAGGGAAAATCAATGACCCCCCGGGGCTGGGCCAATTTTGACCCCAGGGCTTTTATTTGAACAAACTTGGTAGACACTTATTAGAACATGTTTCATGCTAAATATCTTAGCTCTAGCTCTTTTGGTTCTTTAAAAGAAGATTTTTTAAGTTTTTACTATATGCATATAGGGAAAATCAATGACCCCCCCGGGGCGGGGCCAATTTTGACCCCAGGGCTTTTATTTGAACAAACTTGGTAGACACCCATTAGAACATGTTTCATGCTAAATATCTTAGCTCTAGCTCTTTGGGTTCTTTAAAAGAAGATTTTTTAAGTTTTTACTATATACATATAGGGAAAATCAATGACCCCCCGGGGCGGGGCCAATTTTGACCCCAGGGCTTTTATTTGAACAAACTTGGTAGACACTCACTAGAAGATGTTTCATGCCAAATATCTAACCTCTAGCTCTTATGGTTTTTTAAAAGAAGATATTTAAAGTTTTTTCTTTCGGTTGCCATGGCAACCAGAGTTCAGTGGAATTAAATTCTTTGAACAATTTTTAAAGGTGACCACCAAAGGAACATTCCTGTGAAGTTTGGATGAAATTGGCTTAGTGGTTTATGAGGAGATGTCATTTAAAGTAAAAGTTTACGGACGCCGGACGGACGACGGACGGACGACGGACGGACGATGGACGGACGGACGCCGGACGAAAAGCGATCACTAAAGCTCACCCTGTCACTTTGTGACAGGTGAGCTAAAAACTAGAAATGTGTCATCATGCCACGGATGCCCCCGCATGCAGCCAAAATTTCAGATGTTATAATATTTAGTTCCAAATTTGTTTGCACAAATAATTTTTAACCATTTTCATACAATGTTCAAGGCACTGAAATTATTCAGTCTAAACCTTTTGAAAATAGCATATTTCATATTTGTAGCCAAAATAATGGGCATTGGCTACATACATACAAGTTTGTCCAAAATCATTGAACCACGACCAAATTCAAACTTAAACTGCTTATTCCTAAGATGTATCTATATTATTTTCAAAGTGAAAGGGACATAACTCTGCCAAAAAGTCATCGAACCATGACCAAATTCAAACTTGACCTGCCCATTCCTTTGACATATCCATATGTCAAATTTGAGTAGGTTGGTAGATAATGAACAGAAACTGTAAATTTCATATTATTTTCAAAGTGAAAGGGGCATTACTCTGCCAAAAATCATTGAACCATGACCAAATTCCAACTTGGCCTGGGCATTCCAAAAATATATCCATATGTCAAATTTGAGTTGAATGTGTTGTACCATTGGGGAGATAATAAACAGAAACTGAAAATTTCATATTATTTTCAAAGTGAAAGGGGCATAACTCTGCCAAAAATCATTGAACCATAACCAACTTTGAACTTGACCTGCGCATTCCTGTGACGTATTCATATGTCAAGTTTGAGTTAAAAGTGTTGTACCATTGGGGAGATAATGACCGGAAACTGAAAATTTCATATTATTTCCAAAGTGAAAGGGGCATAACTCTGCCAAAAATCATTGAACCATGACCAAATTCGAACTTGACCTGTATTTTCTCACGACATATCCATATGTAAAATTTGAGTTAAATGTGTTGTACTGTTGGGGAGATAATGAACGGAAACTGAAAATTTCATATTATTTTAAATTAAAAGGGGCATAACTCTGCCAAAAATCATCAAACCATGACCAAATTCGAACTTGACCTGTATTTTCTCACGACATATCCATATGTCAAATTTGAGTGGAATGTGTGCCACCGTTACTAAGATAATGAACGGAAACTGATGATGACAGAATGACGGAAGGACGGAAGGACGGAACAGGGTAACACTATATGCCCCGGCCATTACATGGCGGGGGCATAAAAATTGTTTATATACATTTATATACATACAAAAGGTGATAAAACTTTGGAAATGGTCAAAATGTACATATTTAAGAAATTGCACTTACTGTATCCCTGTTGACCTGACATATCAGCTTGGCTCCCGGCAGCACCTTGTGATGGATCAAAATTCATTCCCATGTTAACATCCGGTACCCAGTTTTCTGGGGGCATAGCAGGTCTACCAGGCTCAACACCTGTTATTTCTAGTTCAAATTCTGATTCACTAATAGCTTCTACTTTCACAGAGTTTGGGTCACTATCTATACCACCCTGGCCATCGCCAGTTCTACTTTCACTTTGTTCATTTGTGCCAGTAGATGAATTTGTATTGTCATCGTCTCTATTCATTTCACTCTGACTGTCATCGGCGGGTTCGGTTTTCATCGCCATGTTTTCCAATGTTTCCTGAGGTGTTGAGATAGCCCCTGGTTGAAATGATGCACCGGGAGTCATTTGACTAGATTCTGAGAATGATGTGTCAGATGAAGTTCTTCGGCCAGGCCTTGGAATGTGATATGGTTCATGTCTATTGGCCGAAGAACGCATTTGAAATACTTGAGGTGAGAAAGGTTGTCTTGGTGATCCATGATATGGCATGCGTGGACGTCTTGGACCGGGTCCAAGATCAAACTGGCCTGGCAATGGCCCCTGTGATTTCAGTCTTTCTTTTTCCTTCTCTGCTTGTAACTTTTTATGATGCCCTGTAATGAGGATATGTAAAATTCAGGTACTTTGCATATTCAATTCATCTGGAAATCTACTAACAGATTAATAAATTATACATAAACCCAGGGTGTTGTTTTCCTTTTCCTTCTATAGAAGCCCTGGGCCATTCCCCTATAAGATTAGTTTAAATTGTGCAGCTTACTCCTAAAATTCAATTGACATTAAGTTTTTCCTTTACCTATTGCAAAAAATTATTATAATATACAGTATTATATACTGTGTTAGTATTCCAAAGATTTAAGGAAGGGCTTGTTCGCTATTTGACAGAAAGCCCTGCATGATATAATTTTTTACAACTGTGTCATAAAGATTGCAATAATAGATTGTAAATGCAACATATAGTTCATGAAATTTAATTGGTCACAAGTATTCCAAGTTTGATAAACTTTAGGGAAGTACTGCAATACAAAGTTCACGATACAAGTATAAATCATAGTGTGTACATTTATCTGCAGAAAAAGACAAGATAACACCTCTCATCTTAATAACAAATTTGTTTCTGCATCCTATGGCTTATAAATTACTACCAAATGCACACAAATTAACAAAAAAAGCCATGTTTAACAAATGTATATGCTGTTAATGGCTCACTTAGGCAACAAGAATCATGATGCTATGTTTGTTGGCAATTATCTGCCTTGATTGCTAATTTGGAAAATACTGGGTCATTCAAAATGTACCAAACCATATGATTCCTGTGACTCAGCCACCCTCATTATCTGTTAATGCATTAGACCAGCGATTGTTTTTCATTCTTTGTTTGGGTTCGGTCAACGAACGGTCCGTAAAATGGACACTTTCCAGTGGGATACGGACAAAAGCCCCCCCCCCCCCCCCCCGGACGAAAGCCCCCCCCCCCATCTAAAAATGACAAGGTGGACAAAAGCCCCCCCCATGAAATTTTCACATAGGACAAAAGCCCCCCCATAAAAAAGTAAAGGTAGGACAAAAGCCCCCCCCCCCCATAGTCAATCAAATTTACATATAGTGCATTAAAGTTGTGTTTTTTTGTGTTTAAAAGATATGTATGGGCGTCACATGTAGGTGACATAGTGCTTAGGATATTAATTTGATCCCTTTACAAAAGTGATTAAACATTACTACTCTTCTGACCCTTGTTGTGTATATGAAAAGCTATGAATTCGGTATCACATGCATACATTATTTAATTTTTTATCATGAACTTTGTTATCACTTCAATATATACATTATAAATAAACATTAAAACAAATTCTTTTCATTTTTATTTAAAAGTTTGTGTGAAATTTGATGAATTTGAGCACCTATGCGAGTGAAAAAATATGGGGGGGCTTTTGTCCTACCTGTATTTTTGATGGGGGGGCTTTTGTCCTATGTGAACATTTCATGGGGGGGCTTTTGTCCACCTTGTCATTTTTAGACGGGGGCTTTCGTCCGGGGGGGCTTTTGTCCTACACTCCTTTCCAGTTTCTTCAAAATTTAGCATATTACAGTCAACTATCATTATCTCGGCATCACTTTTCTCGATATTTTGTTATCTCGATGAATTTTGAAAGTCTGGACTTTCTCCATTCTTTACCTATATTAGATATCTTTGTTTATCTGGATATATTTATTTCGATATTTTCAGTATCTCACAGTAAAATTTCAGCCCCAACAGCACACTTTTCACACTTTTATCCCTTGTTTATCTCTACTTTTACATTATTGTCTGTCCCCTGATGTGTGAAAAACACAAACCAGACAATAATTGCTCAATAGCGCGTGTCATAATGATAAATATGTTTTCAACAAGTTGAGCTATTATAAAAGTAAATCTTATTAGAGTGTTGACTGACTTTTGTCCAAAAGGAGGGAATATACCGTTATTTAAAAAAATATTTTGTGACTTTATGACTTGAAATGAAAATGAAAGAGTGAAAGTATAGAAACGTTTTCGTTGCAATTTTGTTTCACAACATCAAAAATGTTCAAACAGCGGTCGAACAATCTCGAGAAGGTCCTGATAACTAACCCGGGAAGATATCAGGATCGATCACGCTAAAACACTGTTTTCTCTATAGTTTTGTATTACTGAGTAAACCTCACTATGAGTTTTTATCACAGACACCCATATTTCTACTGGTAAACATCCCCTTATGTAACTTTATAAATATTGACTAATTTGAATTAGAGATAATAGGCTCAAGAAAACACGATGACTTCGAGATACAGAGAGTCGACTGTATATAAAGTTTAAACTAATTCTATCTCAAAGATAAAACAAATACATCATACTTTTAAGACAGAAACCAAGGAACTGTGTTTTAACATCTTCTTGTTCTTCGAGGAATCCTTTTCCAGAATCTGAGCCCAGGTGACTAAGTGTACCATCGGCAACACTGGCTGTCAATATCACTGACTCTTCGTCTGTGTGTGCTGCCAACTGCTCAACCTACAAAAAATAAGACAATTTATTATACGTCAAAACGTATGCAATATCAGGGCTGGCAAAATCCACAGATTATCATTTTGCCACCCCTGATATATCATATATTCTCAACATCCCAACGTTTTCACGATCCTAGGGCATTTCTAGCTTTTTTAGAAAAATATACCTTAGGGAATGTGGGAAATTTGACAAACTACCTTATACAGGTTTTAAGTTATTATAAGTATCAGGCATTGTAACTCGTCCTGCAGGACAAGAAGCTTCTAAATCCAATGTGCAGATAACATTTTTCTATTTGTCCTGCATTTAGTTCTCTTAAATACTACTCGTAATAACAAGCGGACAAGTGGAATTTTCAATCTCCAAGTATGATCTGCAACTTTTAAATAAAACATGTAAAAGTTCAATTTTTCTCAAAATTTGAAGAAGTTGTTTTAGATTTTTAGGGGGGTTTTTTTTGGCAACTGTCAGGATTTTATTTCTCTTTCTTCTGATATATGAATAACAAAGATTACCTTAGAAAAAGGGCCTATAGATTGGCCCCTAGTAATAGGATAAAAATGACTTGTAACTCCAATGGTTTTGATTATTGTTTTCTTCCAAACCTGAAAAGTAGTTTCTACTTCCCCTTAAATCTGAAAAAAACTCTGCATGTTTATTTTGTTGGGTTTTAAATTACATCAACACAGAGTCAATGACTGAAACAATCATATGGCGACTTTTAAGCCTTATTCAATTATTGGTTGAGGAAGGCCTCAATTGTTACACATACCAGTGGGCATAAATAATCAAGGCCCTGGGCTGATATGATATATACTTACCAGTTGTTGTATTTGAGCTTTGATTATAGCTTTAAGGATGACTTTATATCCTGGAATGTCTTTAATCACCTCCATATCTGGGGCCGCCATTTTCCTGCCTTTTTATGCAATTCAGTAAGTGCACATATAGATCTTTCTTGGCATCCAGTAGTAATGCTGGCTTCAGCAGTTGTCAAATGAGTCTGAAAGCAGATGAGCAGATGATGATGATAAACATGATAGAACTTATAATAGCTGTTTGTTGAACTGATTTAACAATCCCGAACCTACTTGACCTTCAGGGGCTCGGATGGTAATATATTTAAATTGCGCCAACCCACCCGTTACATCTATTACGTCATAACAAAAATTTTAAACAAGATTGCATTTGACAAAATCTTGGTAAGGGTCTACCAGACAATGCCTTATGCAAAATATCTAAGCTCTAGGCCTTTTGGGTTTATTACAAGAAGGTATTTTAAGTTTTTACTATATGTACATATAGTGAAAATCAATGACCCCCGGGGCGGGGCCAATTTTGACCCTAGGGCTATAATTTGAACAATCTTGGTAGAGGTCTACCAGACAATGCCTTATGCAAAATATCTAAGCTGTAGGCCTTTTGGGTCTTTACAAGAAGATTTTTTTAATTTATACTTATAATTCCTTTTGGTTGCCATGGCAACCAGATTTCTGAATGAATTGAAATTCTTTGAACAACTTTGGAAGCCCTTCACCCAAGGATCAATCCTGCCAAGTTTGGTTGAAATTGGACAAGTGGTTTTTCACAAGAAGATTTTTTAAGTTCACTATATAATCTATAGAACACACACACACAAACACACAGGTGAATCGCTATATGCCACCGCATCGCACATGCTGCTGTGGCGCATAAAAAATTTCTATTCATTTTTTTCAATATTTGGATATATTACTAGGTATTGCTACAAAGTATTGACCGCCGGGGAAAACCCGAGTTTTCAAAGATTGGGCAATACTCCCTAAACTGGGTAATATTGGGTAATATGATATTTTGTCTTTTTTTTCCAAAGACTACTGAACATATTTACATCATTTATTAACAGGTAAAGTAAACATAAGGATAGCACAAGTACATTTCATACAAAATTAGTTCGGAACATCAACAACTATCGTTTAAACATATTTATTTAAGCTTGATTGCGAAACAAGTTCTTGCAACTTATATTTATCACTTTCGAGTCCTCTTCCTGGAACCAACTAGTATTGGTGTCATAGGAAGAAACATGGTCGTGACCCGAGTAGGGCTCGACCCCATGATCTCTGGGTTGAGAGGCAGACACCTTAACCACTACTGACTAGGCCACCAAACCCCCCTTATCAACAACTATGTTGTCTATATGCTTGTCATTATCAGGCTACAGTACAGGATAAGTTCATCACTCTCTCTTCCTTTCCTCACAGCATTCTATACCAGAAAACTAACTTGGCACATTTTTGTATTCCAAATTTGTTTCTTAATTTATTTTGAATAAGTCTAAAGTTTGAAAATATGCCCTGTATGGAAGCTAAAGTTGCAGGCATTCTCAAAATGGGGTCCTTACATGTAGGTTTCATGTTTGATAGAGAATGTTTGTTTAACTAAACCTTTACTTGCTGTACTTGTAAAAACTTATTAGCTCAAATTCGCTTCAACTGTTAAGATTTTTGCTGGTACTATATTATAAAGAGTCATTTATATAGGTAATCCCCCAATTTGAGCTTTAAGTAAGGTATATTGTTGCCTATAGATACAAACAATTATCACTTCAAGTTACTTGTTATCACCTTTCTTTGTAAAGAAAATGCAGCTCTAAATGCAATATATATTCAAAACATAACATAGTAAATGGTATTATGCTGTATTATCCGGTAATGTCCAGTATTTCCCAGAAAAACACAGGTTGGGCTGGGCAATATCCCAGTGTAACCTAAATTCGGCGATATAAGAACAAATGTCAATGGCATTTTCAATAAACTACAGTATTCTATAATTATACTTGATATAATTTTACTACAACTATTTAAAAGTTACTTTAAGTTGATTTCTAACAATGTTATCGTTCAGCGGTTGCCAAGTATAAACAAAAATGTTTGATGTAAAATCTTACTACGATCTGAAAACGTCACCTAAATTCGGCGATTCTGATTGGTTGCAGTAAATTTTTAATTTTGGGGAATTGTGACGTAGTATGTTGACCTAGATCAGCGGTAAAAATAGTAAGATAACAGATAGCCACTGTCAAATTATTGTAAGCAACAATATCAATCAAATAGAGGAAAGTATAGATAAACTTGAAATTGCATCAGGTAAAAGACACAATTTTCTCCATGTCATATACAATTTTTAATGTTTACTAGTCCAATAGATTAGAGGTTACAGGCTTGTTATAGTTTTATGTTGGTCAAGCCTGACGTCTAATAGTTATTGCTCATAAACGCGTAGCATTTTGAAAAATTAAAAAAATGTCTGTTGACTTGCCTTTCAAGCTCTATTCAAAAGCTTATCTTCTGTTCTTTCAATTGCATGGTCTATCATTAACAAAAACTTTCAAACAATGTACTTATCAATTAAAAATAAAATACAAATATCAGTCTATTTCGCTCATCGGCCATACTGGTTAAGTAAAGCGTTTTACAGATTGATTCCAATTTTTTGAACGGAAAAATATATTGGAACACACTGATGGTGCATGGGAAATTATTTTGTTGAAAAAATATTCCGTTAGAAACTTCTGGACTCATTTAAACGCTTGCATTTGAATTAGCCAATCAGATTTCCGAACTGTATGGCGGCCATTTGTATATCAGCTGTACAAGGAATTTAATTAAATGAGAGGATTTAATCCTGACTTTTCGGATGTGACAGTTCAATTATTTTGTTAAAAGGTATTTATTTTTTAGTTTTGTTCATAAATAGGTCAAAATTAATGTAAATACATGCCGTTTTAATTCTTTAAATTCATTAGATCTAAAAGACTAAATCGATGTCCAATGTCAATTTTTTTGCTACACGATTTTACAAAGATCTGTTAAGACCCAACGTAACATGGAAAATGAAAAATGTAAAATATCAGATTAATGAATGATAAATATGAAATAGGTTACGTATAGGTCTTATAATTAGGACTACCTAAGGCAAAGGTTCTAGTTGCATTTGATTTGACCTGAAATATGTTTAATCATGTTATTCATATAAAAATACCAGAAAATCACTTGAGTTATAAAAATAGACCATGGGACATAAACATGATGGACATTTTCCTTTGAAATCTCGCATGAATGACGAAAAACAGAAAATCGCCGTAGGAGAACGCCGAATTTGGGTCACAGTAGGATACTCATAAAACCCAGTTTTTTGCCAACCCTGAATATTATCTATCTTCTGTTTATGTCAAACCTGTCTCAGGGACGTAGACATGTTATATACATGAATAACATGATTAAACATATTTCAGGTAAAATCAAATGCAACTAGAGTCAGTGTACCCGGTCTCGCACAGGACCCGGTTTCGCACACTTTCCCGTTTTTCGTTTTTCCGTCAATATTCTAGTGATTTCGCTGATTTTTCGTTTGTGTTTCATTTGACTGTGGTGTTTCCTACAGGATATGACATAATTATGAATCTCACATCTGAGCCTCGTTTTGAAGAGGGCAGACGAAAATGTAAATAAACGTACGTGGGTTAGTAGGTCACTCGTGAAACCAACATAATCAACAAGTAAAACGATTTATTTTCTTTTTAATGTTTAAATTATTATGAAAGATATATTTAAAAAGAATTATATGCGTTTGTGAGAGAAAATTCAGGGTTAGTTACCAAATAAAAGCACATTGATAAACTTCTCCCAACTTCCAACTGTCAAATCATTACAAATTGATTGTTTGTTTAAAATTATACCAACTTCTTAATCGAACGAATCGTAACTAAATTTACGAGGAAATGATCCACTTTACCATATAACCTTTTTTCAGATTTTTTATTTAAAAAAAATGAATTGTTTTAACTTATTTCTATGAATATCTGCCTTTACTTGTTTAATACACTGCTTACATACTAACAGCTTGTACCTAGAAGTACATTTTCAGCTTTCAGGACAAAATACTAACTGCTTACTTATATTTGGCTTTCAGGTGTAAAACTTTCTATTGGTTGGTGCTTGATCATGCCAAAAAAGTACACTTCAGAAGACTTACTTTTAGCAGTTGCAAAAGTTAAGAAAGGGCTTTCTCTTAGAAAAGCTTCAGCCCTCACAAACGTACCAGTAACAACAATAAAGGACCATGCAAGAGGCATTTACAAGAATAAAATTACCAAGCATGGTGGCAAATATGCTCTCACCAATAGTGAAGAGCAAGCTCTTTCAAATTACATTCAATACATGGGAGAAAGGGGCTTTCCTCTCACAAGAAAGGTTATTCGTAAACTGGCTAACGACATAGTTGTTGAATCAGGACGTCCTTGCTTATTTAACACCGAGAAAGGCCCAAGTCATAAATGGCTACGTAACTTTCTTAAAAGACATAAAGAATTGTCACTCAGAAAACCCCATGGATTAGAGCATGTTAGATCTGAAATTAAGCCTGAACAAATTGAAGGGTTTTACTCTCTACTTGAGACTACCTTAAATAGGTTAGGAATAAAAGATGATCCTACACGTATCTTTAATTTTGATGAAACAGGGTTTTCTTCAAAAATACAAGCCAAAGAAAAAATTGTTGTCATAAAGGGAACAAAACATCCGTATCAACCAATGGTTTCTGTAAATGGTCATATTACTTTGCAGTTAGCTGTATCTGCAGATGGTAAAACTGTAGCCCCACTTATAATTTATTCAAAGAACCTTCCAAGGAACGCCTTCATGGATGGAATACCTGATGACTGGAGTTTTGATGTTACTGATAGTGGCTTCATTAATAGTGAAATATTTCTTTCTTGGTTTATTAACTGTTTTTCTAAACAATGCTGTAGAACTCGTCCTATTTTGGTTATAATGGACAATCATGTTACACATTTGGATAAAAAATTGATTGATTTTGCTCAGAAAGACCAAATTGAATTATTATGTCTACCTTCCCATTCTACTCACATATTGCAACCTCTAGATGTAGGGTACTACCACCTTTTGAAAGAAAATTTTACTAAACTTTGCGTTTCTCTAGGATATACTGGAATGAAAACAA